GAGAAGGAAAGGGACAAATCACTCCCCGGGGGGAATGGCCACATGGCAATCCCTTCTCCTCCATTCTCCTCTCAGGATTTTAGGTGTATACACATGTGCCCAGCATGCTTTTCAAATGACCAGATCCAGGAGTCAGACCCCAGTTGGCCATGTGGGAATCCGGAGCCTTAACCAGCACTCCACCTACTGGCCCAGGGTTTCTCAATTTTTAACATGGGATGCATACTTTCACCCAAAAAGGATTTCATATGCTGATACTGTCTTGAGTTTTTATTATAAAAAAATAATAATTATATGGGACCAGCAGTTAGCATAATGGCTATGTCGCTGGACTCCCATGTAGCCAACTGCGGTTCGCATCCTGGACCCAGTGGCTTAAAACTCACACTGGGCGCATGTGTATACGTGCCCAAGATCCCGAGAGGAGAACAGAGGAGAAGGGATTGCGGCGTGGCCGTCCCCCCTGGGGGGTGATTTCTCGCTTTCTGTCTGTCTTTCTCTGTCTGTCTGGTGAGCGCACACGCCCTATAGCAAAAACCTCTCAAAAAACAATTATTATAATAATTATACTTTTTATTTATTTATTTATTTAAATATAATCACTGTGCATGCTGTACATGTTTACAGTGTACGACATGATTTTCCCAGCACAAATGCAGTGCATATCCGTCAAGCAAATTAATTACACTTTTCAAAACACATGTTATTCTTCATTGATTTGATACAATCCGCACTCTTAATTCCAACCCCCACCATCAGGCAGTTGGGAATCCTTGAATTAGGCTAGTATATTCCAGCCACCCTGGTGTATGCTTTGGATCCCATCATTGCTGCTCATTCTTCTTCAACTTCCAAGTATCCCTGGGGGGTCTTTTTCTTTCTCACTGAATCCTTTTTCATTCAAGTCTTGATGGGAGTAACTAAAGTTGCCTACTGTTTAATCCTGTAAACCTTTGCTAACTAAAGATGACTAAAACTTTCTAAAGATGACCTCCAAATTTCTCACCTTTCTTCCTCTCCTGCTTTTATTTAAAATCAAGTACAACCCTATTCTAGTTTCCCAGTGTGGTTTCACTTACTTTTCTACCTTTCTAGACTTAATTCAGTCCTCAGACATGTGTATTCTGGACTGCAGCCTAAATTGTTCATTGTTTCTTAAAGATAGCTCACATGTCAACACCCAAAAACTCCTTCTTGACCTGTCAAAGCTCAGCTATCTCACAAGACTCATCTTGACCTCTCACTTTCCTTGACCTCTTAAGCAGATATGCTCCCTCCTTTCTTTGAAAGTCCATGGGATTTTGTTTATACTTAGCAGTGTGTTTTGTATGCCTCAGTAACCAGGTTCTGGAGGATGGTGTTTATAACTTACACAACTTTAGTGACCCAAAGATCATGACACAGCAGTTTTCAAACTTTGACCGTTACCCACACCAGGATATATACTTACATTGTGACTCAGTATACCCATGAATATAAGTGTAGTTACAATTGATACAAAGCTTTCATAAAATAATACACATTCTTTTTCTTGATGTACTCTTATGTTTTCTTTCTTTATGTTCTATTTATTTCTTTTCATGCTGATCTAAATTTATTTCACAACCATTAGTTACTACTACCATAGCATATTGCACATAACAGGTGCACTATTGTTAATGTTTCATTAAATTCACGAGGCTTTTGAAAAATCATTATTAAAATATTGTTGATTTATGGATATAATTAATCTGTTTTATATGTTTAGTTATATTTTAATCTTACAAAAGCAAAATTATTTTCTCCAAAGTAGTGCTATTTTCTTTTCTTCTTTTTATTTACTTATTTCTTTTTTTTGAGAGAAAATTTTGCCAAAGGGCATGTGTGCTCACCAGAGAGACAGAAAGAGATGAGAGATGACAGAAAGTAAGAAATCACCCCCCAGTAGGGATGGCCATGCTGCAGTCCCTTCTCCTCCATTCTCCTCTCAGGATCTTGGGCACACACGCACATGTACCCGGCATGAGTTTTAAGCCACCAGGTCTGGGACTCAAACCACAATCGACTACATGGGAGTCTAGCAATGTAACTATTACACCTTCTGCTGATCTCATTAAAATCTTTAATAGGGCCCTAATTCCATTGATAGGGATGGAATTTTCATGGCCTAATCACTTCTTAAAGCCTCCACTTCTTTTTCTTTCTTTTTTTTTGTAATAGGTTTTTGTCTTAGGGAAAAATTTTAATTTAAATTTTACATAAGGCTTTAATTTTATTTATCCCTTCCTTGAGAAAGAGAGATGAAAAATAGCATCCTTGACAAGGTCTCATTATGTCATGATCCCCCCCTGCCATTCTAGCCAGCCCAGATCACTTACTTAGACACTTGCCTGGTGTGCTCGGGTTGATCTGGACTCTGAACCTCTATCTTCCATATGACCTCCAACATTGGAGAGTGGCACCTAATGGCTGGTCCCACCACAGCTAGGCCTTTTATTCATTTTAAAGTAAGAAAATGAAG